GGACCTTGCCACTGGGGCCTTCGGTGGAGCTCCCTATGGGGCCACGAAACGTGTGAGGGGTGTGCCGAAATGGGTGGTGGGGAGGCATGCGAACGCAGCCACTGGGGCCACTCCGGTCGGATTTTCCCTTATGGGTCCACGAAACGTGTGATGGGTGTGCCGAAATGGGTGGTGGGGAAGTCATTGCGGTACCCTTGCCACTGTCCTTCGTGGAAGCGCTTATGTGGTCACGAAACGTGTGAGGGGTATGCCGAATGGTGGTTGGGAGGCAATACGGACCCCTGCCCCTGGGGCCTTCCGGTGGATCTCTCCCTGTGGGGCCACGAAACGTGTGAGGGGTGTGCCGAAATGGGTGGTGGGGAGGCATGCGGACCTGCGCACTGGGGCCTATTCGGTGGAGCTCCTTATGAGACCACGATCCTGGTGAGGGGTGTGCCGAAATGGCCCGAGGCCGCCATGCGAACCCTGCCACTGGCGCCTTCGGTGGAGCTCCCTATGGGGCCACGATCCACGTGAGGGGTGTGCCGAAATGGCCCGAGGCCGCCATGCGAACCCTGCCACTGGGGGCCTTCGGTGGAGCTCCCTATGGGGCCACGATCCTCGTGAGGGGTGTGCCGAAATGGGTGTGGGAGGCATGCGAACCTGCCACTGGGCCTATCCGGTGGAGCTCCCTATGGGGCCACGAAAGAAGTATGATGGGGTGTGCGAAATGGGTGGTGGGGAAGGCATATGCGAACCCTGCACTTGGAGCCTTCGGTGGAGCTCCCTATGGGGCCACGAAACGTGTGGGGGTGTGGCCGAGATGGTGGTGGGGAGGCATGCGACCCTGCCATGCGACCCTGCAACTGGGGCCTTCGGTGGAGCTCCCTATGGGGCCACGAAACGTGTGAGGGGTGTGCCGAAATGGGTGGTGGGGAGGCATGCGGACCCTGCCACTGGGGCCTTCGGGGAAGCTCCCTATGGGGCCACGAAACGTGTGAAGGGGTGTGCCGAAATGGGTGGTGGGGAGGCATGCGGACCCTGCCACTGGGGCCTTCGGTGGAGCTCCCTATGGGGCCACTAAACGTGTGAGGGGTGTGCCGAAATGGGTGGTGGGGAGGCATGCGGACCCTGCCACTGGGGCCTTCGGTGGAGCTCCCTATGGGGCCACGAAACGTGTGAGGGGTGTGCCGAAATGGTGGTGGGGAGGCATGCGAACGCAGCCACTGGGGCCTTCGGTGGAGCTCCCTATGGGGCCACGAAACGTGTGAGGGGTGTGCCGAAATGGGTGGTGGGTAGGCATGCGTACCCTGCCACTGGGGCCTTCGGTGGAGCTCCCTATGGGGCCACGAAACGTGTGAGGGGTGTGCCGAAATGGGTGGTGGGGAGGCATGCGAACCCTGCCAATGGGGCCTTCGGTGGAGCTCCCTATGGGGCCACGAAACGTGTGAGGGGTGTGCCGAAATGTGTGGTGGGGAGGCATGCGAACCATGCCACTGGGGCCTTCGGTGGAGCTCCCTATGGGGCCACGAAACGTGTGAGGGGTGTGCCGAAATGGGTGGTGGGGAGGCATGCGAACCCTGCCACTGGGCCCTTCGGTGGAGCTCCCTATGGGGCCACGAAACGTGTGAGGGGTGTGCCGAAATGGGTGGTGGGGAGGCATGCGGACCCTGCCACTGGGGCCTTCGGTGGAGCTCCCTATGGGGCCACGAAACGTGTGAGGGGTGTGCCGAAATGGGTGGTGGGGAGGCATGCGAACCCTGGAGGGAGGAGGGCGAGGAGGAGGAGGAGGAGAGGAGGAGAGGAATGCGGGGACCGTCTCTTAAAAACGAGGACCCAACACCACAGGATGGTTGGGAACAAGGCAAGGCGGATGTCGTTCGCCGTTTACGGGCTCTGGGGTCCCCCACCGGCTCGCGGACCGTCGCAAATGACCCAGGATGAAATTAGCCTGGAGAAGGACCCAACCATATGCAGCTGCGAGTACCGCACGGATATGAGACGAAGGAGGGGGCACGCAAACTAGGCCCCTCTTCTCATAGGCACCGCGCCACTGTGGCCCTCGGTGGAGCTCCCTATGGGGCCACGAAACGTGTGAGGGGTGTGCCGAAATGGGTGGTGGAGAGGCATGCGAACCCTGCCACTGGGGCCTTCGGTGGAGCTCCCTGTGGGGCCACGAAACGTGTGAGGGGTGTGCCGAGATGGGTGGTGGGGAGGCATGCGAACCCTGCCACTGGGGCCTTCGGTGGAGCTCCCTATGGGGCCACGAAACGTGTGAGGGGTGTGCCGAGATGGGTGGTGGGGAGGCATGCGAACCCTGCCACTGGGGCCTTCGGTGGAGCTCCCTATGGGGCCACGGAGCGTGTGAGGGGTGTGCCAAAATGGGTGGTGGGGAGGCATGCGAACCTTGCCACTGGGGCCTTCGGTGGAGCTCCCTATGGGGCCACGAAACGTGTGAAGGGGTGTGCCGAGATGGGTGGTGGGGAGGCATGCGAACACTGCCATTGGGGCCTTCGGTGGAGCTCCCTATGGGGCCACGAAACGTGTGAGGGGTGTGCCGAAATCGGTGTGGGGGGCATGCGAACCCTGCCACTGGGGCCTTCGTGGATGCTCCCTATGGGCCACGAAACGTGTGCGGGGTGTTCAGGATGTGTGGGTGGGGAGGCATGCGAACCCTGCCACTGGGGCCTTCGGTTGAGCTCCACTATGGGGCAACGAAAACGTGTGGGGGTGTGCCGAAATGGGTTTGGGAAGGCATGCGAACGCAGCCACTGGGGCCTTCGGTGGAGCTCCCTATGGGGCCACGTAACGTGTGAGGGGTGTGCCGAAATGTGTGGTGGGGAGGCATGCGAACGCAGCCACTGGGGCCTTCGGTGGAGCTCCCTATGGGGCCACGAAACGTGTGAGGGGTTTGCCGAATTGGGTGTGGCTGACGCATGCGGGCGGCGGCACTGGGGCCTTCGGTGGAGCTCCCTATGGGGCCACGAAACGTGTGAGGGGTGTGCCGAAATGGGTGGTGGGGAGGCATGCGGACCCTGGAGGGAGGAGGGCGAGGAGGAGGAGGAGGAGGAGAGGAGGAGAGGAACGCGGGGCACCGTCTCTTCAAAACGAGGACCCAACACCACAGGATGGTTGGGAAAAACAGTTTCCGGGGGATTGGTCGAGCCCTCTGGGAGTGAACTGCGGCGCGCGGCTGCAAATCTCCAACGACATGAGCGCCAAACAGAAAAGGCTCTCCCGCACGATGGACGCAGCGACTTTACGCGCCAACTTACGCGGGCTGCCGGCGCGGTACACCACGTGGAGACGAGGAAACTAACGCGCGGCCTTGCGCGGGAAGCTGTCGCGCGAATGCTCGCGCAATCGACCACGTTTTCTCCCGTCGCTCACTTTATTGGAGCGGCCCTGAAACACACAAAGAAATAGACACAAATAGCAGGATTCCCTATATTTTCCCATATTTTCTTGGTTCTTGTCTTCCCCCCCACTTCCCATATTTTCCAATATTTTCTGGGGAATCGACGATCAATTGTGTCTGTTTGTGTTTTTCCCTCCTGATTTATGTAGGCACGCAGCGCGCCTCGTCTCCCTCGTCGTGGTGACCGTGGTTCCGTCTATGCAGTGGCCACCACCCCCTACATGGTCTGCAGGTCCCCTGTGAGTCTCTGCAGAGGTCACCCGAGAGTCAAAAACTTCTGGGAATTAGCCTAGGGCGAAGGACCCAATCATGTGCAAATGTGAGCACCGTCGTTGTATGCACCGCATTCGGAGGAGCTCCCTGCAAGGCCACGAAATGTGTGAGCCAATGGACGCATGCGAAAGCAGCCGCTGGGGCTGTCGGTGGATTTCCCTACGGGGCCACGAAACGCGTGAGAGGTGTGCCGAAATAGGTGCGGTGGGCGCATGCGAACACAACCATTGGGGTCGTCGGTGGAGCTCACTATGGCGCCGTGAAACGTGAAAGGGGTGTGCCGAAATGGGTGCGGTGGGCGCATGCGAAAGCAGCCACTGGGGCTGTCGGTGGAGCGGAAGGAGCTCCCTATGGGGCCACGAAACGTGTGAGGGGTGTGCCGAAATGGATGTGGGTGACGCATGCGGGCGGTGGCACTGAAGCCTTCGGTGGAGCTCCCTATGGGGCCACGAAACGTGTGAGGGGCGTGGTGTGACGAATTGGATGTGCGTGACGCATGCGGCCGATGGCACTGGGGCCTTCGGTGGTGGAGCTTCTAATGGAGCCACGAAACGTGTAAGGGGTGTGCCGAGTTGGGTGTTCGTGACGCATGCGGGCGGTGGCACTGGCGCCATCGGTGGAGCTCCCTATGGGGCCACGAAGCGTGAGAGGGCTGTGCCGAAATGGGTGACGCATGCGGGCGGTGGCACTGGGGCCTTCGGTGGGGCTCCCTATGGGGCCACGAAGCGTGTGAGGGGTGTGCCGAATTGGGTGTGGCTGACGCATGCTGGCGGCAGCACTGAGGCCTTCGGTGGGGCTCCCTATGGGGCCACGAAGCGTGTGAGGGGTGTGCCGAATTGGGTGTGGGTGACGCATGCGGGCGGCAGCACTGGGGCCTTCGGTGGGGCTCCCTATGGGGCCACGAAGCGTGTGAGGGGTGTGCCGAAATGGGTGTGCGTGACGCATGCGGGCGGTGGCACTGGGTCCTTCGATGGAGCTCCCTATGGGGCCACGAAACGTGAGAGGGGTGTGCCGAAATGGGTGTGCGTGACGCATGCGGGCGGTGGCACTGGGGACCTCGGTGGAGCTCCCTATGAGGCCACGAAGCGGTGTAATGGGTGGGTGAAACGCAAGGAGGAGGGAGGAGGGGGAGGAGGAAGGAGGCGGGAGGAAGAAAACGCGGGGCGCCGTCTCTTCAAAGCGGAGACCCAACGCCACAGGAAGGCTGGGAAATAATCAAACATAGTCGACACATCCTCCCCAGAGCATCCCTTGACTAATCTTGACTGACTATTCCTCCTGCCGAGGGACACGCGCCACAATTAGGCCCAGGGGTATCAATGCCTTTTCCTCTGGCGTTCGCCACGCGAGCCGCTCGCCGGCCGGCGGCGGGCCGCGCGGCGCACAGAGCCCCAGGCGCGGCGCGGCCCCCCCGTGGCGGTCCCGAGGCGCCCCCGTCGGCGGCGGGGCGGCCCTGCAGGCCATAGGCTCGCTGGCCACCCGGGGAAGCTCCGATTCGATTCGATCCGACTCCGATGGATGCCGATTCCGAATCGATTCGCCTTGGGATCCTGGTTTGGGTTCCGATCGACTAGCCTGTCAGTTTCCGCCGACTCGACTCTTCCCGATTCGACTGCCGATTTTCCCTCCGTTCCGATCGCCGGTCCGAAACGGTCGAATGGCCACAGCTGCAGGAGCAGGGGGGCCCAGACCCTCTCGGGCCGGGGGAAGATCGCGACGGGATGTGTTTTTTTGACTTGTCGCCGACTTCGGCCTCCAGGGGCGCACGAAACACAACTCGGTACCCACTACGCGATCAACACAAATCAATACTCATTGCCCACTAACCACTATCCACTACTCAAACTTCACTACTCACTACTCACTGCATCCACTACTCGCTACTCCCTACACTCTACTCGCTACCCAATGCGCACCACTCACTACCCACAACTCACTACGCACTATGCTCCCACTACTCCCTACCCACTACTCCCAACTCGCTACTCACTACCCAGTACTCAATACTGACTACTCCTTAACACGACTCACTGCCCACTACTCACTACTCGCTAAGCACTATTCACTATCCACTGCCCACTATCCACTACTCACTACTGAGTACTCACAGTTCACAACTCACTACTCATTGCCCATTACCCACTACTGACTATCCGCTGCTCGCTACTCGCTATTCCCTGCTCCCTACATAGTACTCACTGCTCACTACTACTCACTACTCACAACTCCCTACCCCCTACCCCCTACTCGATACCCGCTAGTCACTAGTCACGAGTCGCTACGCTACTCACTACTCACTATTCAGTACCCACTGGTCACTACTCACGACTCACTAACCACTACGCACGACTCCCTAGTTACTGTTCAAGATGCAATACTTACTAATCACTACGCACTACTCATTGCTCACAAACCACTACCCCCTACTCCATACTCCCTACTCACTAGTCACGAGCCACAGGTCGCTACTCACTCCTCACTATTCAGTATTCACTACTCACAACTCACGACTCACTACTCACTACTCGCTACCCCCTACACACTACCCACCGCCTAATACTCAAAACCCACTTCTCATGTCGCACTACTCACTACTCACTACTCACCACTTCCTACCCCATACTTACTCCAACAACTCACTACCCACTACTCGATATTGCCTACTCGCTACTCACTACCGACTACTCCCTCCACACTACTCACTACTCACAGTGCCCTGTTCACGACTCACTATTCACTACTCGCTACTCCCTAATCGCTACTCACTACTCACTACCCACTCCTCACTACCCACTACTCACTAGTCACTGCGCATTACTCACTACTCACTCCCCACTCCTCACTAGTCCCTACTATCTATTCACTACTCACGATTTACTACTCACTACGATCTACTCACTATTCACTACTCACTATCCCGAGGCCAGACACCCCACCCCTTGCGTGAGAGGCCCTCTCCCCGGCCCCGTGTTCGGCGCAAAAGGGGGGAGGGGGTGGGGGGGTCGAAAATCTCACCCCCCCCGTCGAAGAGGTGGAGGGGGGGGGGGGTCGGAACACCCTCCCCTTTTCAACTACGGGGTGATCCAGTGGCGCGCTTTCCCTTTCTCCCATACAGTCAACCCGTATAGTAAGGATGCGCGATAAGGATGCAAGGGCCTTTGCTGCCCATTTCGATGCGTTTCGAGCGGGGCGCGGCCAACGAAAGCGGCCAAGGATGGACCGAGGAGGCAAGGATACAAGGGTATATTTGGGAAGGCTGCCCATCCTTAATGTGCGGATTGACTGTAAGTTAGAACTCGATCTGCCACAGCAAACCTGGGGAACACATGAGGCAAGCTGTGAAGCAAGCAGGGAACACCGAGCCCCTCCCCAACGAAAGAGGTTCCTTCTTCGGAGCCCCTGCTGTGCGGTCGGGCCTGGGCCAGGAGAACATCCTTCAAGAGGACGAGACCATCGGTCGGCCAACAAAATAACAGGCCATCCATGGGTACCCTCCCCAGGGTGCACAAGAACCTCCAACAAGCACGAAGAGCACCAGGGCAGCCTTCGCAAACAGAACTGGATCTCAGACCTCGGTCCGACTGCAGTGAGCATCGCGTCACTGGTCCCTATCCCCCAATGGCGTGACCTCCTTTGGCCCCTCTGGCCGACTTGCCCACCTACGTATCACTAGGTGATACGATCCCGGATCGAGGGGTTGACAAGCCAATCCTCGCCCCCAGATGGGACGGGTCCCAGGGTTCAGAGGCGCCCACCCCCTGATGGGATGGGGGGGACGACGACGACGGCGACGACAACGACCACGTCGACGACGACGACGACGACGAGGACGAGAACGCCGACGACGACCACGACGAAGGACGACGACGACGTCGGCGGAGGACGAGGACGAGGACGACGACGTCACGCCCACGGGGTGGGGGCACCCATCACGCGGGGTGGGCCCGAAGGCATCAGCGTGAGGGGGGGGCGAGCCCTGGATCAGATATGCCTGTTCACTCGGGCTTCGCGGGGCCTGCCCCCACCTTGTAGGGTCGCTTGGTGAGACCGAGATTGCTGTGGCCCAGGCGGGGCCGGGGATAGGTTGGACGATGCTGAGGTAGTGTGGCTCCGGCGTGGGAGCAAGGCTGCAATGATAGTGGTTTCGTTCTGGTCGGTTTGTTTTGCTCCTGGTTTGATCGGGGCTCCACTCTAGCGCATGTGCCATGTTGTCATTGTTGCTCGTCGACCCCCCCACCTCTGAGAGGAAGGACAAGGGGGGACTGGCCCAGGGGGGACACGTCGACCTTGAGTCAGCGATCCTCCGCCCATGCATCGGCGACAAGAAGCCCCCGATGGCGAAGCCGTGCGCTCCTGGGCGGGACTGCGGGGCCCAGGCCGCGATCGACGAAGACGGAGGCGACCGGTGGCCGCTGCCTCCTCTCCCCCTCGTGGCCCCTGCACCTCGAACAGCAGTGGTGGAGGCCCGGGCCACGACCGCGTGGCCGTGCACCGGCCCGCAGCAGAGAGCCCCCCGCGCGGCCCCCCGCGCGCGCGCTGGCGCTCTCAGGCCCCCCGCCGCCGCCGAGGCCTGCGGGCGAGCTCCGCCCGCGCCCCTCGGCGTCGGCGGCACTCCCGCGACCCTCCTCGGCGGCCTGCGGCGGCCCTCGGCGGCCCTCGGCGGCGGCCCGCGGCACAGGCCGCGCCCCGCGGCGGCCCTCGGCGGCGGCGCCGGTGGGTGGCGGGGCCCGCCGGAGGACCGAGGAGGAGTGAAGGTCGAGGAGCGAGGCTCGGAGCCTCGAGGAGAGTCGAGGCTCGAGTGGAGCAATTCGAGGGCTCTGCTCTGGCCAGAGTGGAGTGCGCCAGAGCGTGCTGGGGCTCCTGTGGGTGTGTGGCGAAGCCGACGCCCCTCTTGGGACGTATAGCCCTTCTCACCAGGGCTGGACCGAAACGTCGTGTTTGTTGATGCTCTCTTCGTTTTGTTGCTCGTTTTGCTCTACCAGTTTTCCTGCACCTCCCTGCGAAAACGAAAAACAAAGCACAGCCGAAGTCCAGCAAAACAGCGTTTAGGTCCCGCCCTGCTTCTATCCAACCTTGAGAGCGTGACAACGCTAGCGTGGGCGGCGATTCTATAGCCGATCAGGAGGCCCCCAAGAGAGCCCAGGAGGTCACCTGGATGCCCCAAGAGGCCCCCAAGAAGCCCAAAAAGAGGCCCCGAGAGGACCCCGAACGGCCCCCAAGAGAACCCCAGAAGGCCGCGAACGTGCAGACAAACGCCTGCGATGGCACAATACGGGCCGGCGGAATGAGCGAAGCGATTGAATCAATTCTGTAGTCGATGCGCTGCCGGGCCCCTCCCAGGCAGCTGCCGCGGGAGCGCCCGCAGCAGCCGCCGCGGGGCAGGCCTTCTCCGACGGCGGCGAGGCTCCTCCCTGTACAGGGACATGCCCGAATAAAACTCCTGCCAGATTGAATGGGACCATGTTGGAGTGGGCCGGTCTTGGACCACGGATATACTGGCAGCGATGCCGAACGCAGTCTCCCAAAAGTTGCATCGAACTAATGTCAGTGCCGTCGTCCTCCACCTCCCGCGCCATCTGACCAGAATCCGACGAGGGCGCCCCCCGAGGCCCCAGATGGGCGAACGACGTTAGAAACTATACCCTCCTCCTCCTCCTCCTCCTCCTCCTCCTCTTTGGACGCCCGAAATGGGTACGGAAAAAACGGGCACAATGCCCAACAGCAAATCTTGTCCCGAACCAACAGCGGCCGCTGTTGGGCAGGCGGCCTTCTGTCTCAGATGGGCACAGGCCGCGGCGGCGCGGACAGCGAGTCCTGCTCGAAATGAACACGAACTGCTGTTGGGCATTGTACCCATTATTTCCGTACCCATTTCGTTCGTGCCGATCGAAGCCCCTCGGCCTTCCGAACATCGGGCCGGAAGAGAAAGGGGGGGAATAGCAAACTGTAGGGCAAGGCATCGACGCACGTAATTGGCAGATTTCCCCAGCGCCTCCCGGCGCCAGGAGGCGCCCACGCATCGAGGAATGGGCCAGGCGGGGGGGCGGAAACCAGCCGCACGCAACAGATTTCGTGACCCCCCCTGTCCCCCCCCGTTTGTCCTTCGGCCCGAGAAACACCTGCAGTGGCTTCGCAGAAGGCTCCGAAAGCTTCGCAGGGCCGATCTGCATCGACAACAGCATCGACTTACCCCGAAATTGAATTCTCGACGCATCTGCGACAGATAGGTAAACACAAAGCATATCTGCGAAGGGTAAAAAAAAAATGAAGACAAACAAAAAAAAGAAAAAAAAAAAAAAAAAAATAGAAAAAAAAAGAAAAAAAAAAAAAAAAAAAAAAAAAAAAAAAAAAAAAAAAAAAATAAAGAAAAAAAAAGAAAAAAAATAAAAAACAAAAAAAAAAAAAAAAAAAAAAAAACAAAATAAAAAAAAAAAAAAAAAAAAAAAAAGAAAAAAAAAAGAAAAAAAAAAAAAAACAAAACAAAAAAAAAAAAAAAAACAAAAAAGAAAAAAAAAAAAAAAAAAAAAAAACACAAAGCATATCTGCGAAGGGTCGACGACCAAATCAATCTCGGTGTAGCTCAGTGATGTATTCGATGTCAGATTTGTTCGTCGAACCTGCGAAACACACATAGAAACACCGCAGATCTCGGAACATTTGACGAACAAATCAAATTCGGGGCAGAACATTTCTGTACCCGATGGCTGACTTGTCCGTCGAACCTGCGACGAATCGGTAGATACTTCGTAGATTTCCAGACGCTCGACGAACGAAGCGAGCTCGGGGCACATCGGCGCCGTGGCCGATGTCCTACTCCCGGGCGGGTGGCACTGGGGGGTGAGCTACTTGGGAGTGAAGAGGAGGACTTCACCAAAAGGGCACCTGGGGGCCCCTTCGGGAGCCATGACGGGCCCAGAAGGGGCCCTAAAGTGCCTTTTTGTTCAACCCCTCTCTTCACCCCCAGTCAAATCATCCCCACCCGCCACCATTGAAGGGGCCCTGGGACACACAAATAAATACACACAAATAAAAAGATCCCCTAATTTTTTCCATATTTTTGGGTTTTTTGTCTCCCCCCCCACTTCCCATATTTTCCCACATTTCCTGGGAATCGACGATGAATTGTGTCTGTGGGTTTTTTCCCTCCTGACCACCACCATCCCAATACTCGACAGAGGGTTAGAGTCAGAGGCCTCCGGTGCCTGTGCACAGAGAGAGAGGCCTGCCGTCTGGCCTGCCCCCCCCCGGGGCGCGCCGTCGCTCTGAGGCGGAAAAGTGCAAAGGAGGGCGTGACTGGTCGGGGGGGAGCACGGACCTGCCTGCGGCACAGTAGGAGCTCGACCACCAGGAAGCTTCCACAAGAGACCCAACCCTGAGCCCCCAGGACGTCCACTGATTTTTGAGTGTGGGAACGCCGCGCTTCCCACGGCAAAACCATCGCAGCCCAAGAAACTCAGGGCACCCTGAAGGCACGCAGGATGTTTCGTGGCACAGGTCTCCACTGTAGGTTCGCATGGCGACGCCGCGCACGAAGGTTCTCGGCTCCGCGCCGGTCGTTCCGCCTTGGATCGATCGCTGCCCTGATCGATCAAGGTCGAATCCAGTCGGGTCTGGCACCGTTACCTTCAACGTCGCGGAATTCAGCCTTGAACGCCATCGCCAGCGTCGCCGGCGCGCCAACGCCGCATGAACGTACCGTACCTGCCAGACCACCCCAACTGAACCCGAAGAAGGCCCAACTTCGGGGCGGGGGGGGGGGTCCGCAAGTGTGGTTTAGCTCGATGTTCCCCCTCGCGCCCGCCCCCCCCCCCCCCACACACACCTGGGAACGGAGGGCGAACTGGGGCCTTCGGGTCGGAAGCGGGTGGTCGGGTGGGCGGTGGTGACCCAACATCGGCGATGCACCGCCGACGAATCGGCTATATATAAATATATATATACTTGTATGTGTATATATATATACTACCCTGTAACGCCCCTCGCGGGGGTAGAAACCAACTGGGTGCAGCTTACTCCGTGCAGCGTCGTGTTCGTTCCTCCGCCTTTTGTGTTCTTGCGCCAGACGTCCACCTCTGATGCTCTCGGGAGTTTCCACAAGGCTCGCCGGTGGTTAGAAAAATGTCCCGCACATTGAAGACTAAGTTATTCGAGGTTTCGTCTTCGACTCCGTTCCAAGAGCCCCGACGTGGTGTCTGTTCATCGTGTCGGCGCCCTTGCTTTCGTGAACGTATCCTGGGAGGGCCTGTTTGTGGCGCCCCCAAGAGAGGGGAGGAGGGAGGAGGGGGGGGGGAAGGAGTAGGGAGGAGGGAGAAGGACGGAGGGGGAGGAGGCGGATCTCGCGCACGGCGCTATCGGAGCCATCGAGACTACGGATGAGGTAGGAGGAGGACGAGGATGAGGAGGAGGAGGAGGAGGAGGAGGAGGAGGAGGAAGAGGAGCAGGCGGTGGAGGAGGAGGAGAAAGAGGAGGCGAAGGAGGAGGAAGAGGGGGAGGAATAATTAAAAGCAGGACGAATGAGGAGACGGATGGCGACGAGGAGGAGGAGAGGGAATGACGCCCGTCCTGGAGCCTGTTGGTGTCGCCTTGGCTATCCTAGAGCGTGCTGGGGGTCCTGTGGCCTGTTTGGGCTCTTCGGGGCCTCTTGGGGCCTCTTGGAGCCTCCTGCGCCCTCTGGAGCTCCCTGAATGTCATTGAAAATGGGTCCTCCTGGGGGCTCTTGAGATCTCGTGGGCGGTCCCGGAGCCGCCATTGGCCCTCCTGGAGCCTCCGTGGGCCCTCTAAGAACCCTCTCGCGGGGACGGAATGATGAAAACAATTTCGCGCATGGGGGCCTTTCCGTTGAGAAGGGGGGCGCGGTGCAGAGTGGGTCCTCCTGGGGCCCTCCAGTGATCTCCCAGGCACTCCCGAAGCCGCCATGGGCCCTCCTGGAGCCTCTGGGGGCCGCTCAGAAGCCTCTCTCGGGGGCTGAAAAATGACGACAGTTTCACGGATGGAAGCCTTTCCGCTCAGAAGGGGAGCGCGGTGAAAGGTAATAAATTGACGACAGTGTCGCATTTGAGGCCCCAAATAAGCCTTGGGCACCTCGGGCGCGAACCCCGCTCCCGCATAGTACGGTGCGATTTCCCTTCCCCCCGCTGTCCCGCCGGACCCCGGGAGGGTGATTTTTGTGGTTTTCGCTTGTAAGAAACACTCCCCCCCCCCCTCTCGACGGTGACGGAGGGCAGGCGGCGGGGGTGGGCGGGTTGGCGGGGTGGCGGGTTGGCTGGGGTTGCGGGGTGGCTGGTTAGGCTGGTTGAGCCGGTTGAGTTGTTTGGGTGGCTGGTTGGTTGGGCTGGCTGGTTGGGCTGGCTAGGGCAATTGGTTTCGATATATGTTCTGCTTCTCCCCCCCCCGTGAGGCCGTGAGCGAGCAGCCTCTGGCCTGCCACCTGCGCCGCGCCAGGGCTCCACGGCGTGAGGGGCCGCTGCGCAGAACGGGGCGGGGCCCCCGCCGCTGCGCAGACCGCACAGCGGCCCAACCCCGACAGGTTGGCGGTGCCTCGCCCTCGACAGCGGAACCAAAACTCCATGGGCGGAGGTAGAAGAGCCCAGAATCGAGTCGATAGATCGACTCGGCGATCGAAGTTACTCGGATCGGCGGAGAGCGGCGGCCAAGTCGGGAGGAGTCGAGTCGGCGGACATCGGCAAAGCAATAATACCTCATCGAGCAGTCGGAATCCAAATCGGAATCCAAAATCGGATCGAATCGGAATCGGAATCCATCGAAGTCGAATCGAATCGACGCGGGGGAATCGAGACGAGCCCTGGCGGAGGGGGGGGGGGCGCACGCCCCCCGAATCGGCGACGGGCGGGGGGCGGCGCGGGTGCGTCGCCCCGCCGGGCCGGCGCCGCCCCCCGCCCCCCCCCGCTTCCTGTCGGTGCCCCCGTCCGCCTCCCCCCGCCCCCCCTCGGAGGCGCCGCTTGTCGCCATCGCTCGGGAGTCCTCCTTCCCCCGTGCATCTTCAGCTGTGGATTGTCGTGCGTGTACAGTGGAGGCGCGACCACAAGAGACCTTCCACAAGAAACCCAACCCTGAGACCCCAGGACGTCCATTGGCTTTTGGCGTGGGAACGTCACGCTTCCCATCGCGAAACCAGCGAAACCCAAGAAACCCAGGGCACCCTGGAGGCAAGCAGGGTGTTTCTTGGCATGGGCCTGCACTGTACTGTTGTTTCTGTTCACAAGGTGATCCTGCATGCTCCTGGATCCGACTGTCCCCCGCCTCGGAGGCGCCGCCTCGCGCCATCGCTCTCGGACGTCCATTCCCCGCGCAGCTGCACTCGTGGCCGTCGTGCGTCTTGGGGTTCTCACTTGGCCTAACCAGCTCGGGACCAGGGGCGACTTTTGCGGGAGGTGCCACCCGTCGCCGCCCATCGCCGCCGTCGCCGCCGCCGTCGCGAACCGCGTAGATCGCAGGAGCCTACTGCTTAGGGCATACGCTGGCTAACGTGATCCTGATCCTCGATGGTCCTCGCCTCGCCAGGGGATAACTGCACGCGTCCGAGCGATGCCAACATCTCTGGCGGCGCGGACAAGGCTTGGCGATCGAAGTGACTCGAATCGACGGAACTCGGCAGGCTAGCAAGGCCTCTATCAAGAAGTCAGAATCCGAAGCGAGATTCGAAGTCGGGTCAGATCGGAATCGGGATTGATCGAAGACGAATCGACTCGGGCCGGAGGAATCGAAATGAGCCCCGAAGGGGGCGGCCGCGAGGGCGGGCGGCCGTTCAAGTTCAGCAGGCGCGGGGGGGCTTCAATGCTCAATCTAAGGACCTTCCTGGAGCCACTCGCTCCACTCGCTCCACTCGTGCGTCGAAGCTGCGTCGAAGCTGCGTCGAACCGGAGCCGAACTTCAGCCGCACCCCAGTCGAACAGGCCCGTGAGGCGAGTTGGGCCTCAGAAAGGTCCCCACAACGAACATCGAATTGCCAGCCTGGGACATATCCCCATCCCTGAGCTGGGCATCGCCTCATCGCGATGCCCCATCTTAGGGACTCCCGTATTTTTTGAGGGCGCATCCCTAAGGCTGTCATCGCTCTTTGGCGTGTCAATCTTAGGGATGGGGATAAGTTCGAGGCTGGTAATCGAAGGGGGGGTCTCGGAAGCGGCGACGGCGGCGGCGGCGGCGAGGGTGGCCGCGAGGGCGCCTCCAGGATGAGCACGGGCGTGCTGGCCCCGGCGCCCCCAGCCCACATGCGGCGGTGAGAGCGGGCCTGGGGCGCCGGGGCCCCCGCGGCGGAGCCCGCCCGAGGCACGGAAGGATGACCGCCACTACCACAGGCAGGACGTGGGAGAAGTGAGTGTGGGGAGCTGCCCCCCACCTCCTCCTCCTCCTCCTCCTCCTCTCCTCCCCTCTCCTTCCTCCTCACCACCTCCCTCCTCTTCCTCCTTCCTCCTTCCTCCTTCCTCCCTTCCTTCCTCTCCTTCCTCCTTCCTCCTTCTTCCCTCCTTTCCTCCTTCCTCTTCCTCCTGCCCTCCCTCCTTTCCTCCTTTCCTCCTCCTCCTTCCTTTCCTCCTTCCTTCCTCCTTCCTCATTCCTCCGTCCTTCCTCCTTCCTCCTTCCTCCTTCCTCCTTCCCTCCTTCCTCGTCCTTCCCTCCTTCCTCCATCCTCCCTCCTCCCTCCTCCCTCCTCCACCTCCTCATCCTCCTCCTCTTCCTCCTCCTAGGTGGCTTCAGGCCGTGGTCCATTTCGCGTAGCCATCTGGACCCGGGCACCTGACGCCCCCATGCCTCGGAGAGAGGCGGCGCCGTGAAGAGAAAGCCGTTGCAGGCGTCGATGGCCGAGCTTACGTGTGCGCCCCCGGTGGAGTGGCGCCCGAGCAAGAGCCAGAGGCGCGCGTGGCGGCGGCTGCGCTTGGCTACGTGCAGGCAGGTGGAAGCTGATGTCGGTTGGCTGCTCAACCCCCTCCCGCACATATGGCAGTGGCTACACGCGCCTGCGTGCGACGAGAGTGGGCAGTGGCAGCGCGAGACCAGACAGTGCGAGAAGTGGGAGGCGAATATTGAGCCAAACACCATCAGCTACTGCGCTGGGATCAGGGGGTGCGATCAGGGGGAGGCGAAGCTGGAGCCAGATTTCGTCGCCAGCCACAAAACTGGGAACAGCGCGTGCGAGAAGTGGGAGGCGAATATAGAGCCCGACACCATCGGCTACAGCGCTGGGACCAGGGCGCGCGAGAAGGAGAAGGCGAATCTGAAGCCAGATATAGCTAGACTGCCGCCCCACTCGACGCTCAGCGAGAAGTGCGGGAGGCGAATATAGAGCCCGACGTCAACCGCTACAGTGCTGGGATTAGGGCGTGCGCGAGGAGAAAAGCGAAGCTGGAACCTGACGTCGCTAGCCACAGTACTGGGAACCGCGCGTGCGAGAAGTGGGAGGCGAATACAGAGCCCGACACTATCAGCTACAGCGCTGGGATCAGGGCTTGCGAAAAGGGGAAGGCGAAGCTGGAGCCCGTTATCGCTGTCACTAGCTTTTTCCCCTCGTCACCCCTCGTCGCCACGGCTGGACCAGATAAAACGAAATGTGGCTCGTTTGCGGATGCGAAGTTTGAGCCCAACGTGACCAGCTACAGCGCAGGGAACGAGAGAAGGGAGAAGCCAATGTGCGGGAAGCGGGAGGCGAAGTCGGAGCCCGACATCATCAGCAGTTACAGCACTGGGACCAGTGCGTGCGAGAAGGGGAAGGCGAAGCAAGAGCCCGACATCGCCAGCTACAGCGCTGGGAGCAGCGCGTGCGAGAAGGGAGACCCAGGCCAGAAGCCCCTCACGACACGCAGGGGGAGGTGTGAAGCGAAGATGGAGCCCGTCATCATCAACAGCTACAGTGCTGGGATCAGGGCATGCGAGAAGGGAAAGGCGAAGCTGGAGCCCGACGGCTGCGGCATCGAGGAGTGGCGGTTGCAGCTGGAGATCAAGAGGATCCGTGAGGCCAAGGCGGCGCAGGCGGCTGCGCGTGCAGCGCAGGAGGCGGCGGCGGCCGCTGTCGCAGCTCACGGTCGTGGTGGATCGTTTCCTGCAGGTCGATTTGGTGCCTTCCCGAGAGAATGTACAATGGAGGAACTCTGCCGCAACATGGCCGGCCCCCCGTGCACGGGGGAGACGCCGACGCAGCAAGAGATCAACGTGGGCGAGCTGTTTCGAGACTTCGCCGCGACCACGGCGGAGATGGCCAGTTCCGCCCCGCCTGCACCCACTGCCGAGGAGCATGTTGGTGCGGATTGCAAGCAGATGTGAAGTTCGTGATTTCGAGCTTCTTGGTATCCTTCCAGTTCGCTGTCGGGGACGGGTTCTTTCGACTACGAGTCTGGAGGCGTGCGTGGAGTGCATCGGCCTCGTGGGGTACATATTCCTCTGAGTTGCTCGGGCCTCCGAACTTCTTTCATGACTTCGTCATTGGTCTCGTCTCGTCTCGTCTCGTCTCGCCTCCTCTTCCTCCTCCTCCTCCTCCTCCTCCTCCTCCTCCTCCCCTCCTCCTCCTCCTCCTCTCCTCCTACCTCCTCCCCCTCCATCCTCCTCATCCTCCTCTCCTCCTCCTCCTCCGCCGCGCCCGCCGCCGCCGCCTCCGCCGCCGCCGCCTCCTCCTCCTCCTCCTCCTCCTCCTCCTCCTCCTCCTCCTCCTCTCCGCCTCCTCCGCCTCCTCCGCCTCCTCCTCCGCCTCCTCCTCCTCCTCCTCCTCCTCCTCCTCCTCCTCCTCACCTCCTCCCTCCTCCTCCCCCCCCCAGGTCCTCGTCCTCCTCCGTTTCCTTCTCCGCCTCCTCCTCCTCCTCCTCCTGCGCGACGAGGCAAGAAGACGTCCTGCTGCTGCTCCTCCTCCTCACCTCCTCCTCATCCTCCTCCTCCTGCTCCTCGTTATCGTCCTGTTCCTCCTCTCTCCTACTCCTCCTCCTCCCCGCCCTCCCTCCCTCCCAAGCTCCCTCCTCCCTCCCTCCCTCCCTCCTCCTCCTCCCCTCCTCCCTCCTCCCTCCTCCTCCTCCTCCCTCCTCCCTCCTCCTCCTCCTCCTCCTCCTCTCCTCTCCTCCTCTCCTCCTCCTCCTCCCCTCCTCCCTCCCTCCTCCTCCTCCCTCCTCCCTCCTCCTCCTCCTCCTCCTCCTCCTCTCCTCCTCCTCCTCCTCTCCTCCTCTCCTCCCTCCTCCTCCTCCTCCTCCTCCTCCTCCCCTCCTCCTCCTCCTCCTCCTCCTCCTCCTGCCTCCTCCTCCTCCTGCTCCCTCCTCCTCCTCCTCCTCCTCCTCCTCCTCCTCTTCCTCCTCGTCCTCCTCCTCACCAAAGTGTTGAGCTCTTGTTGAGCCCTCCGCATGGCTCAGAAGGATTCCGCGGAGGAGTATCATAGGGGATGCAGGGCGAAGGGGCTGGAGGACCTCCACTCTCTCGCGCGACGCTGAAGCCCAGCACCGCAGGGGGAGCGCGCCGCTGGGATGGGCACCCCGCGATGCCCACGTGAGCTGCTCCTCCTCTTATTCCTCCTCCTCTTCCATCCCCCTTCCTCATAAGAAGCTCCTCCCTCCCGCACCCCGAGACGGGTCGGTAATTAGGGCGGGCCTGGCGTTCCGCCTGAGACCTCCTCACCAGCTGTGATCCTGAAGCTCGAAAGTTGCACCAGCTTCACGGATGGAGGGCGGGTGGGCTTCAAAACAGTTTGCAACAATTGCAAGCAGTTTCAAGCAGGTTCCGCGCATTCTCGTCCTGACAGCTTCCAGCAAGTTCAAGTCTTATGATGGTTGACGTCCCTGCAATGGTGTGCGGCGAGTTTGGATTGGCAGGGCGCGACGGTCACGTTGATTCGCGGTGCTGGCGATCCAGCAACGCTGTTCTCACACGATTTGGGATCGTCAGGTCGCAACAGTGACGTTGATGCACGGCGTTGGAATCCTATGAATGGTGCTTCGGCACGGTTGAAGATTTTCAAGCGGTTGTCTTCCAGCAGGGCTCTTCCGCAGTGAAAATACGTAGGGCCTTGTAGGAGCCTATGCAGAGGGAACTTGCAGGGAGGGTTGGGTGCAGCGTCGCTGTTAGGTCTTGGGTTTGCACCCCTCCATCTGCTCCTCCTCCTTCTCCTCCTCCTCCTCCTCCTCCTCATGCTCATGTTCATCCTCATCCTCGTCGTCATCATCATTAGTTTCATGATGATCATTATCATAATCATCATCATCACCACCATCATCATCATCATCATCAGCATCAGCATCAGCATCATCATCATCATCATCAGCAGCAGCATCATCATCATAATCAGCATCATCATCACCATAACCACCATTATCATCATCACCATCACCACCATTATCATCATCATCACCACCACCACCATCATCATCATCACCATCAGCATCATCATGGTCATCAGCATCAGCATCAGCATCAGCATCAGCATCAGCATCAGCATCAGCATCATCATCATCATCATCATCATCATCATCATCATCATCAACATCATCAGCAGCAGCAGCATCATCATCATCCTCTGGAGAAAGAACTCCTCTGAACACGCAACCTTCACAGAACAATCTCGGAATACCTCTTCCGCAAACATGCGAAGATCTCAAGAGCCCATTTGGCAAAACGACAGAAATGGGTCTTGACGGAAACGGAACCTGGACCCTGGCGGCTTTACCCAGGACCCCGAATAGCGTTCTGACAACAGCTCGGTAGCCTGTGGAGGGCCGGGAGCCCGAGCACGGCGCAGAACCTCAGGACCCGTTTCCATCAGGAACCGTTTGGCTCCACGGCAAGCCCACGCCTGGCTCCATGCCTGGGGGGGTCAGCTCACGTGGGCATCGCGGGGTGCCCATCCCAGCGGCGCGCTCCCCCGGCGGTGCTGGGCAGCAGCGTCGCGCGAGAGAGAGTGGAGGTCCTCCAGCCCCTTCGCCCTGTATCCCCTATGATAACTACTCCTCCGCGGAATCCTTCTGAGCCATGCGGAGGGCTCAAAAAGAGCTCAGCACTTTGGGGAGGAGGAGGAGGAGGAGGAGGAGGAGGAGGAGGAGGAGGAGGAGGAGGAGGAGGAGGAGGAGGAGGAGGAGGAGGAGAGGAGGGAGGAGGAGGGGGGGGAGGAGGGAGGGGAGGAGGAGGAGAAGGAGAAGGAGGACGAGGACCAGGAGGAGGAGGAGGAGGAGCAGGTGGGCGATTCGTGCCCCAACACAAGGCGACGAGGATAATCAGGCCGCACAGAGCTTCTGAAACTCGTCAGGCGTGCCGGCAATCGGACCGTTCCTG